TGGGCGGCGGCCTGGGAAACCTGCCGCTGGGACTTTGTTTGGTGGAGCTGCCTATGGGGGCACGAAATGTTTGAGGGTGTGTCAATGTGGCCTGGGCGACGGCATGTGGACCTTGCCGCCGGGACCTCCGATGAGCTCCTCATGGGGACACGAAGCGTCTGAGGGGCGTGCCGACATGGGCCGGGCGGCGCACTAAGGACCCTGCCGATGGGGCCTTCGGTGGAGCACCTCGCAAGGCCACGAAACTTGCGGGGGATGTGGCGAAGCAGAGGCGCGGGGGAAAAAGGGGGTGTTTTGATGATGTTGGTGAGGATGGTGGTGGTATTGATGATGGCGACGACGAGAAAGCTGATGATGTTGATGATGATGGTGGTGGCGACGATGACGATGGACGATGACGACGGGGACACGCGGAGAGCAGGGGCAGATACGCGAAGAGGGAGGACGAGGGAGGAGGCCGGAAGGAATGACGCGGGGCGGTGTCTCTTCAAAACGAAGAACCCACACTGCTATATGGTAGGAAATTTCTGGACGACCCCCCCCCCCCCGTGGCGCGGTCAATGTCCGCGACAGCATCGCTGGCACTACGAACGAAATGTTCGAACTCTTCCTGCGACGCTACCCGCGGGGTGGATCTGCCAGGGATGGGGGTTGAAACCGCCCCAGCGCAAAGCAAATGTACAATCCTGAGAAACCCCAACCCACATCAACCGATCCGCAACAAGCACGTGACGACCCCAACGCACGTGACATCGCATAACGCGACGCGCCATCGAAAACGTTCGACGCGCGGCCTCGGAATGACATCGGGCTTCGTGGAACGTCGAATGGAAAACATGAAAAACCGCCCTGTGGGCTCCGAGACCCAAAATTAGTGATGTGAAGGATTTCGGGTCTCGGATGATATACCTATATATAGACGTTCCCCGAACAGTGCCAGCACTGAGGAGTTCCATTTCTTTTCTCAAGATTTGGGTTTGTCTGGTGGTCCAGCGGCTACGTTGTCGCTGTCGCCACCCCGTTGCCGCCTGGTCGCCGCCCGTCCATTTGGGCCTGTCGGGCGGACATGTTGTCGCCATCGCCGTTCCGTCGCAGCCTCGCCGCCGCCCGTCGTCTGGGCCTGTGTGGCGGTCTGGCAACTATATCGTCGCCGTCGCCGCCGCGTCGCCGCCTCGTCGCCGCCCGTCGTCTGGGTCTGTCTGGCGGTCTGCCGGTTATGTTGTCGCCGTCGCCGCCCCGCGCCGTCGTCTCGTCGCCGCCAGTCGTCTGCGCCTGTCTGGAGGTCTGGCGGTTCTCTTGTCGCCGTCACCGCCCCGTCTCGACGTCGCCGACGGCTCACAATATAGATCCTCCTCCTGTCTAACAGAGAACTGGAATCGACACCCCCAAGATTATCCGCCACCCTGGGGATGTAAAACTTACACATCATTCTGCCCCATCGTTCATTATACATGCGAGTCCATACCTTCCATCCAAGCCGGTATCCCCCTTCACGCCTGACAAAAAATACAATGCTCGCGCGCTCGTTGATCAAAGACCACTACTTTTTCAAAAACCGCGTCCATCAAATGTGACAAAGACCACATGCGGACGGCATCGCGAGCGCAAGCCGAAATCTTCAGATTGATTCACATATTGAAGTTCACGAGCACCTACACCAAAAAAACAGTCGAAAAACCCGACCACATGCACGTGTGACTGCTGCGTTGTGGGTACCGCGTTCGGTGGAGCTCCGTAGGGGGGCCACGAAGCACGTAAGGGGTGTGCCCCAATGGGTGTGGGAGACGCATGCGAACTTTGCAGCTGCCGCCTTCGGTGGAACCCCCTACGTGGCCACGAACCACTGTACTGAGTGGCGCGGACCCATGCGGACACGGCCACGAAAGCCTTCAGCGGAGCTCCCTCTGGAGCAGCGAAGCCCTGCACACGGTGGGGGAAGGACGCATGCGAACTTTGCCAGGGGGCCTTCGATGGTACTCTCTATGGGGCCGCGAAGCGCCGCTGTACCAGGTGGGGGGCGGGACGCATGTGAACTTTGCCAGTTGGGCCTTTCGGTGGAGCCCCCTATGGGGCCACGAAGCGCGTTACTGGGGAGGGGGGAACGCATGCAAATTTTGCCACTGGGGGCCGTCGGTGGAACTCCCTATGGGGCCACGACGCGCTGCATTGGGCACGAAAAAAACACATGCGAACTTTGCCACTGGGGCCTTCGGCGGAACCTCCCTACGTGGCCACGAAGCGCTGTACTGGGTGGAACGGGCTCATGCGGACGCGGCCACGGGGGCCCTCGGTAAAGCTCCCGTGTGGGGCACCGAAACGCTGTACAGGATTGGGGGAGGAACGCATGCGAACTTTGCCATCGGGGCCTTCGGTGGGATTCATTATGGGGCCCCGAAGCGTTGGGCAGACCACCTCCCCCCCTCTGCCGTGGTCCCTGTAGTGGTCGACGGCGATGACGACGACGACAATGACGACGACGAAGACGAGGACGAAGACGAGGACGATGACAAGGACGAGGACGACGGACGGCGGACGGCAGACGGCGGCGACGACGACGACGCACAACGGCTGCCTTATGGGGGGGGTGCGAAGGCCCGCTGTAATCGACGACGGCGACGACAACGACGACGACGTCGAAGCGACGACGGCGGCGACGACGACGACGCGACGACGACGACGATGACGACACGACGACGCACTGCAGATGGCCGGTTGGTGTGTGTGTATGTGTGTGTGCGTTTGTGTGTGCTGCCAAGGCCCGCTGTAGTCGACGACGACTACGACGACGACAAGGGCGACGAAAAAGACGACGACAACGACGCCTGAGAGGGGGAACGCAAATTCGCCTCGGATGTGTACGACCCCCATAACAACTTCAACACGACAAAGCAATCGACTTGAGGCTGTCATGCAAGGGGGTCCACGATCCCCTCGGCGGCGCCAGCGACGACCCCCTGGCGCGCGTGCTTTTTTGTAAAAGTAGCGCCCCGCGGGGTCTATTCATCAGCCCTGGGGGGTGCCCAATTCTTTTCACAACTTGACATAAGCTGGTCGATCTGAGCGCGAGCGTGTGCGCGCTAGCGCGGCCGCACTTATGCGCCAACCATCGCCAAGCGGTCATCGCAACCGCCGCCGCATGAGTTGTTCAAACTATGTTGCGGGTGGGTGGGATGGTAGTGGACTTGATAACTCACGGCGGACAACACTCAATTGCAGCAGCGAGATCGTACGACGTCGAGCGCACAACATATATTGAACCGCGTAGATTCTCGTTTCTGCAAACAAAAAAAGTACCCCCCCCTCCCCCCCCGAACTTATCCCGCCCACGGGACCCTATGTAAAACACGTACGATTATGACCCAATGCCCATCCTATCTGTGAATTTATAATATCCCAGCTAGGCCGGCATCGCCCCCCGCCATACGCTGCAAAAAATTCCATGCGCGCGCAATCGTTCATCAAAAATCGAACGTGTTCAAAAATCCTGTTTGCGGAAAATAAAACGAAGTGCGCACGCGCGCGTCGTCGCACGCGCCTGCCGATTTCGGAAAGATCTCAAAATTGAATGTCCAATGAAATGCAAGCATACATGGTTTCGAAAGCTTGATGTTCAACAGAAGCGTGCGCGCGCTCTTGCTAATTTCCAAGAAAACCGCACGTGCTTCATCCTTGTCAAAAACATACTACCAAACGGGCTTCGCGCGCGCACGTCGAAATCGTTCGGACGCCGTTGCGCGCGCATGCCGAAATCCGTCAAAACACCGCCAGTTCTGGAAGAATGCAAAATCAACTGCCTAAAAAAACGCTAGAAACACACGGTTTCGCAGCACGGATGTTCCACAAAAGCGTGCGCGCACGCGCTATTGCGAATCGTTAAGCGGAAAAACGGTTCCCAACATCTTCACAAAATGCTACCAAACGGGCTTCGCGCGCACAATTCGAAATCGTTCGGGCGCCCTTGCGCGCGTGCTGGGGTGGCGCGATCCGTGTCAAATAATACCATGCGAACAACTCTTGCGCGTCAGCCGCGCGCGCATTTCGGATTCCTTCCGAAACCTTCATCACCGACGCGAGGACGCCGTCATCGTCGTCGGCGTGATCGGCATCGGCACCGTCATCGCCACTATCATCATCATCGTGTTTGCAAGTGTTGTCACCAACATCGCCACTATCATCGCCATCGTGTCTACAATTGTCGACGTTGCCATGATACCGCGCCAGTCCAAGCTTCCAACTCGAACTCAAGTGTCCGCTGGGGTGCGCTGAGCGGTCAGCACCACCGCGGCCTCGTCGGTCGCGCCAAACTACCTGGCCGCTGTGCGCGCGCATGCGCGGGCTGGCGCGGCCGCAAAGATGCACCAGCTAACGCCCAGCACACATCGCAACCGCCGCCGCATGAGGCTTGCAAACCAGATTGTGGGTGGGTGGGTGGGATGTTTGCGCGAGCAGTGGAGTGGACAACCCACTGCGAACAGAAATAAATGATACCAGAGAAAAACCCAATCATAATCTTTTTAGGGCTGTAAGGCTATAAGGCTACAGGGCTATATGGGCTCTTGGGCGCTGTATGGGCTATATGGCTATATGGCTATATCGGTTATAGGGCTTTAGGGCTATAGGGCTATAGGGCGATAGGGATATAGGGCTATAAGGCTATACGGCTACAAGGCACCGGGCACCCGGGCACCGGGCACCGGGCACCCGGGCACGCACACGGGCACCCGGGCACCCGGGCACCCGGGCCCGGCCACCGAATCGGCGGCGAACCCGGGCACCTGGGCACCCGGGCACCAGGGCCCGGCCACCGAATCGGCGGCGAACCTCTACCCTTAAATCCGCTAGGCCCCTACAGAGGCAAGCTCTGATTGGGGAATTGCACCACGTAGATTGCACCGCATAAGTTGCGAAACACTTATTGCACAACATAGAGGGCACCACATATATTATCCCACATACATTACACAACATTGATTGCTCCACAGAGATTGCACACCACATAGATCGCACACGTGGAATTTACCCGCGGAGCGGTGCGATCTCTTCTTCCTCGCACCCCCGTGCTCTCCTCCGGTTCACCTCTCTATCAGCAGGCCCGCGGCTGCAAGTGACACGGTGAGGCACCCTAACAGTGCCGGGAACCCTAAAAATTGTAGCATGACTTCGCTAGATTGGAATGTGGCAAAAACAATATTGCTCAATGTAGCTGGACACGTGTCCCCTCCTCGCCCCTTCCCCTCCTTCCCCTCCTCCTCTTTCCGCCAAGCCTGCATCATTGAAAGTGGCGGAAACTGGCAGGGCGAGCGATGCTGCGCGCGGCCAAAAAAAAACCCAAGGCGTGTCGGCGTCCCCGGCGCGCTCCGCGCGCCAGAGACGGGGTCGAATCCATATAGAATATGTACATGCCACATTCCAGGCCCCTGATTCCCTATCGCTTGGATACGTCGTGACTGATACCTCCCACCCCGAAAAGTGGGACGCCTCGACAACATATGATCACGGAGTTGCTCGTCATCCTAATACTCGGGGGTCTCGAGGATTGAAGGAGGGCTTCTCGAAGCCGGATGGCCTCTGAGAAAGCCGCGCCCTCGCCACTCCAGAGGGCCCATCCTGGCCAGACTGTCGAGCCGCGTCCAGTCGTGGCGACGTGACCCCCCCTCCGCGAAGCGTCAACACAACCATCTAACGGCGGCGCCTTCGACGTCGTCAGAGACGATCCCCCCAGAAACGAAGCACAAACACAAACAACAAAAAACACACAAACTAACCGACAACGCCGTCGGCATCGGCCAGGAGTCCCTCCCCCCGCGTCGCGCCTCTCGTGGACGCGCCGACGCCAACCCGGGTCAGCGCTGACCATGTCGCGGACCCTGGCCGTCCGCTCAGCAGCCCCAAAACCCGGCTCACACAAGGGAAGGGCTTGCGTCCCCGGAGCCACAATCCTCTTGTAAGTTACTGCGCAATGGCGCTCCCGGAGCCACGGTCCATGATAACTCGCACCATGTTCGAACCCCCCAAACCACACTCCCTCAATGACCTCGCCAGGTTCAAGTCCCCGAGGCCACAAACCGTTGAATATACGACAAGTGTGCGCCCCGCAGCCACAAGCCAGTGTAAATTACTACGCGGTAGCGATCCTCAGGGAACAAGCAACTGACAAATCACGCAGGGCTCGCGCTCCTCAAGCTAGAACTCCTGCGCTGCACAGACTCGCGCTCCCGAGGCCACACTCCCTTGCAAAGCACCACACGCTTGCGCCCCAGAAACCCACCGTCCTCTGCAAATGCCAAATGTGATGGAAAATTGTGATAAACACAATTGTGATAAAATCAGTGCTGCAAAACTGGTTCGGAGCTTTGGTTCATCACGCTTGTTCGGAGTTTTGGTATCACACTTGGTTTTGATCACACTTGTTTCTTGTATCACAACTGTTGTATCACGCTTTTGTTTTTTTTCGCACGGTTTTTTTTATCACACTTGTTCGGAGTTTGTTTTGTATCACACGGGTTCGCGCCCCCGGGGCCCCGGTCCTTCCGCGCGTCCCCCGAAGCCACCATCGCGTGCAGATCGCTGGGGGGCCGGAACCCACCGCACGGAGGCAGCCCTCTCCAGAGCAGAAAAACTGCTATGCTCTGGCATGGGATATGTGATGGTCCGAGTGCGCAGGGTCGGGGGATCGCGCCGCATTGCCGACGCATCGGCACTGCGGCTCGACGAGGAGCCCGATTTTCTTGGCGCTGGCGTCGCCGGTGCACCGCCGACGTCGGAGATGCATCGCCGAAGCCTCGCCGACGTATCGCCGATGCCTCGCCGATACGTCGGCAATGCGGTGGCCCCATCTAGGAGGCCCCTAACCCTGGGCCAAGGGCATTTCGAGCAACATCCGAGATTCTGGTTCGATATCCCGCTTCCCAATTCGGAGCTGGCGGGTGCTGGAGGCCGCTGGCGTGGCGGCGGGGGCGCCCGAGGAGGCAGGCCCACCCGCGCCCTGTGTGCGGGGCCTGGCCATGCGCGGGTGTTGCCAGGGGTGTCCAGTGCCCCGAGGCGTCCTTCGGGGGCAACGTTTATGAGGCGGGGGACAGGCTCTGTTCGCAGGCGAATTTCCTTCCCCAACCCCCGAACTCCGCCTAAAAGATTGGACGCTCAGAAAAAGGGGGGAAGCCTGGGAGACACCCCGAAGGGGCTATTCGGACGCACCCCTATCGAGGATAGATGCCCCCCCATCGTATATCCCAGGGTTGAGCCCCACATTCCTGGTCCATTCGACAACCCCACGAAGCCTGGGATAGGGGTCGACAGATCCCTTGTTATCAGTGGGTGGGTTTCGAGGTTCGAGTCAGGACGTCTTCGTCGGTTCGGTTTCTGAGAGCTCCTGCCACCGTGCCAGCCCATCATCCTTGGTGGCGACTGTTCGAGGGGTCTCAGCAGGTCGTCACGTGTGACACCTCGTGTCTCCAGACTTGGGAGAACTGCGATGAAAATGAGAAGGAAAATGCTGAAAAAATGTACACGACAAGTATTCAACAACAGCCAAACACTAACCAAACAAGTCGTTCCCATATTATTTGTTTACTATGTTTTGATGTTCCTCCTGTAGAGGGACATGCCCGACTTGAGTCTAGGAGGCCCAAATAGAAGTGCCCCTGGCCCAGGGTGCCCCCAGGATTCCCAAGGAGGCCCCCACGCCCACCAGAGCACCCCTCACGAGGCACAGAGGGCCCCATGGGGGCTCCGAAGTGGAGCCAAAGGCTGGGGGGGCACCTTGGGCCAGAGGCACTTCAGGCCAGGGTCAGGGGGGGGAGGAAAAGGAGGAAGAGGAGGAGGAGGAGGAGGAGGAGAAGGAAGAGGAAGGAGGAGGGGGAGGAGGAGTAGAAAAAAGAGGAGCAGGGGGGGGACCCCCCTTACCTATTGTAGTGGAAATTGGAGAGAACGTGATCCAACGCCGCCTTACTGTGGAAGATTGCCCCCCTTTTCCTCGGGAGCCTGGGGTTCCCCCCCCCTCCGAAAATCTCCCCCCCTCCCCCCCTGCTGGACCCCCCCAGGTCCCCTCCCCGGGCAAACCCCCCCCCTGCACAATTACTCAATCTGAATACTCTTCTCCCTGTTCCCCTGATGACGGCCTGGGAGTGTCCGACCACCCCCCCCGCGTACTGTTTTGTTTACACACAGGTTTCCCCGGAGTTGGGTTATCGCCTGCATTTGTTACCAAAATGCTGCTCTCGCTGAGGCGCCGGCCTCATTTTCGGGCCCCGCTCGCTCCGAATCGTGTTCCCTCTGCAGCGCTGGCCTCATTATCGTGTTTCCGCTCGTTCCGACTCGTGTTCCCGCTGCAGCGCTGGCCTCATTTCCGCGCTTCCGCTCGTTTCGACTCGCGCTCCCGCTGCAGCGCTGGTGTTATTTCCCGTGCCATGCCACGGCATGCAATGCAATGCTAGGTTGATGTTACGCTTTTGCGGTGCTGTTCTACGCCATGCCATGCCGCGCTTTACAATGCATCGCGTACCCTTTCGAGATCAATGCTCTGTTCGACATCCGACTGAGCGAGTAGAGAGGGGATCTGCGCCATGGTACGGGATGGGAGCGAGGGGTACCCCTAACACCTGCTTAGTCAAAGTTATAACTATAAGTCAAGTTTAACTTGAACTTAAAATTTAAATAATTCTTGTGGAGTTAAAGTTTAACTTAACTATATAGTTAAAATTAGTTTAACTATATATTTAAATTTGATCTTAACTAAATCGTTAAATTTTAACTAGCCCCCAAAGTTAAACTTTAACTATGTGTTTTGATCATATCATCATCAAAACAGTTGCACAACAATGATGTTACATTTTACACAAACCATATACATTCCCATCGCATGAGCAATGATGACAAGTTGACATTGATGGATATGATGGATATATTTTCCTTGACCCATGAAGCGCTCTAATGCGAAACCATGTGCGGCGACATCTGCAAATGCATCCCCTCCATATATTTCACATTGATCTTGCGAGATACCGCGCCCGCTTTGCACCCTCGGCAGCACGAGCTCCCCACAGTGCGCATGGTGCGCATCATGTGTTCTCCTGCGTAGCACCACCCGCGCCGCGGATTCAAATGAACGCAGTCATGGCCGAGATGGCATAAACCATGCGACTTCGGCGTTACATCGAACAAAAGATCTCCCAATCGATTGAAATGTTTCGCCGCGGCTGTTTGGCACGCTAAATACATGAACACGCACTGTTGCCATTCCGCGGCTGCTTCTGGAGAAAATTTGTACTCGCGCGTGTTCTCCGTCATAATAGCATCCAACCGCGCGCTTTTGCGCAGGGCCAAACCTATCTGCCTGTTGACCGTAACGCTCATGCCCGCATAGAAAGGCCATATGTCACAGAGCGCCTTTGTCATGCTCTTCACTTCTGCAGCGCGCCCCTTCAACTTTGGGAAATTCTCATTGGCGTTGCCTGGGTTGTGCCACATGCTCAGCTTCACATGTCCATAGTGCTCAGGTATGCCGTTCTGTTTCCAGAAATCTCTTGCGCGCAGCATGACCCTCTGCAAATTTTCAGCAGCCGTGCGCGGGGGAATCCTGCAAACGAGAAGCCAGATCACTGAACCATTACAGTACTGATCTATACCCAGGTGCTCTACATGCATGAGGTCATACGCAACTGACAATATATTTACCCCTGGAATATCAGATATTGCATGGTGAACAGGGTGCGCAGCCAGCCATGAAGCAGCGTCCCACATATTATGTAACCATGGCGCTGCGTGCTGTTTGTGGTCGCTCCATTTTTTATCGGTGACGTTGGCAGCGCACTTGGAGCATGGCGAGTTGCCCCCTGCATTCGGCAATCCATATTCCTGCGGGCGCGCAATACTTGCGCAGCCCCCCCCCCCCCCCCCTGCCTCCCAACCCCCTCGCTCCCTCCCCCATGTTTCGGCCCGCCGACGTCTGTCACGAAGGCGACCCAATCAAATTCCTATCGCAAGCCTCCGCCTTCTCCCCCCGCATATTCTGAATTCCGTATGTTCCCCCGCACCTCCTCCTCCTCCTCCTCATCCTCGGCCTCCTCCCTCTGTTCTCCCCCCTGCCTCTCGTAGGTGCCGCTCCTCCTCCTCCCTCGCCTCCCCATTTGTGGGCTCCCCAATCCTTGTTCAGATATTCCCAGTCGCCCTTCACCGTAAAGATCATGCCACGCAGCCCTCCTGCCAAGTCAGTGCCAGCTTGCGCAGAGAGGATTGGGTTGCCCTCTGGGTCGTCGGTGGGCCACTGTCCGTTGAATAGCGCCGTAAAGCTCCACTTCATCACCTTCCAGAAACGGTTCATTGTGCGACATACTCCTTTCCTACTAATCAAATGCTCGAAAATCATGAAGAGAACAAAATTATGTCCTAAAGTGTTCCAGCCTGGCGCCACTGTTGAATTAAATGAGTGGCACGACATTGACTCGCTCCAGCTCTTGCCAATCCCCCTCACAGGGACACCG